CTCACGGAAGGAGCGGGGCCTCTGGCTGTGGGACAGGAGGGCTGCGCACAGGGTCCCCGTGTCCCTTTTCCCCAGGAACCGCCGGCACCGACGCGTCTGAGTCGCGGAGAGTGGCCTGCCGGGCGGTCTCCGCGCTGCGGGTGGGGGCGGGGCTGGGAGGTGCGGTCCGGGGACAGTCCCGGGCCCGTCTGCGGGCGGTTCCGACTCGGGCTGTAGCGCCGTCCCCGAGTGGGACCGCGCGCGCGGGGCGGGTGTTCGAGAGGCCCCTCCCCTGCGAGTCGGCCTCCGCGCCCACAGAAGGTTCCGCAGCCGGTGTGGCCGCCCCGCCCGCCGCCCTGGACTCGGCCCCCCCTCCCACCCCTCTGCCCCCACCCCCGTCCCCGGGCCGCGCCTGGGGGAGGCGCAGTCAAGGGGCCGCGGGACCTGCGCGCACGCGCGTCCCGGGGCGAGTGATCGGAGCCCGCGGGGGCTGTGGAAGGGCTCCAACCTTTACATCTGCGGCTTCAGAACTTTTTAAGTAGGTACGGGGCCTGCAGGTATTTGGTAAATGTCGTGTTCAATAAATATTTTCTCTTGAGTTAAGTGAAGACTCACGGGCCTGTTTATGTTCACCGGGTTCACAAAAACACCACCAGGAACCCCGCAGGGACGAGCACGAGGACTAGCTCCAGTGATGGGCGTTTTTGGTCATTTACAACCTTAGGGCGCTACGTCACACTTCGGTTAATGTCTGTACACTCTAGTGATTACATGCACATTAACCGCACTTTCTTGGACGTGCTGTATTTTGAGGATTTACCTAAGACCCTCACAGACAAATGAAGACCTGTGACTCCCATGTGAAGATAATTTTAATGAACATCAATCTATGAGTCACACAGTGACTTTGGGGGTTGGGCAGAGACTGAAAACTAAATACTTCCTAGACAGGCGCTGTCTGCTATGGTAGCTACAAGATACATATGGTTTTTAAATTAAAAGGAAATAAAATTAAAATTTCAATTGCTCCACACACAGGTCACACTTCAAGTGCTCAGCAGGCACCTGCAGCCAGTGGCTGCCACGTTGGACGTGCAGACACACAAACAATCCCTTGGTCCAGAATGTTCTGTTGGACAGAACTGCTCTTCACGTTGTCTGGGCCTCGAGTCACAGCACTAGAGCCATAAAAAATGAAGAGGACAATGTCACTTCTCTGACACACGACATCAGGTTACTACATATTGAGCTGCTGTATTACAAACAAAACCAGGTTCCTGTGGGTCTGGTGGCTTCGGGCACAGACTGTTCCCAGCTACACACAGGAAACACCTGTCCCCTCACCTCCCTTCCCAGACTGAGGACACTCTCTGAAATCTCATTTCCAGGGGCTGAGTTTTCTTCTAGAAAAACCCAGGGCAACGCTCTCAGCAGAGTGTGGGAGGCAGGGCCCCCTCGGGGAGAGGGATCCTAGGGAGGGAGGGGGCCGCAAGGGCGGGGGGGTGGGGGTGGGCAGGCTCCCCTGGTTTATCCAGAGCGGCCGTTCTCACAGTGCGGTCTGTGGAGCCCTGGAAGTTTCTAAGAGCCTTTCATGGGATCTATGAGGTCAAAACTGCTTTCACAGGATCAAGGGCATCATTTGCCATTTCACGGTCCGAAGTTTGCACGGAATAAACGTAGCAGCAACGGGGGCTGGGACACCCGACGGCAGTTGCAGGCGCTCCTCTCCACGGCCCAGTCACAGACGAGAAAACTAACCAGTGTCACTTTGGAATGACATGGCTGAAGGACTGCAAATCATTATCGTGACTAAACCATCATCCTTAAATCCACATTTAAAAAATATCTTCATTTCCAGTCAAGATAGCTGTATAGGTAAATGCAGTACATCACCCCACAACCACATCAAGATTATAACTACACTATGAACAACCATCATTCAGAACCACCTGAAATCAAGCTGCACAGAAGACCTACAACTAGGGGATTAAGAAGCCACAACAAGGCTGTTAGGAGGGGTGGAGACAGATTATGAGCTGGTCCCACATCCATGTGTGGCAGATAAAAATCAGAAGAAATATCTGGGCTCCACAGGTTTGCCCTGAAGAGGGAGGGGACCCAGCCCCACACCAGGTTCCCCAGCCCAGGGTTTCAGTGCCAGGAGACAGGGCTGCCCAGCTTCAGGCTGTACACACCAGTGGGGATTGTGCCTGAGTGGGAGGGAGACTTCCGGAGTTCCAGGCACTTCCTCTTAAAGGCCCACATGCACATGGACTTTCTCTGAGCTCCAGCACTGGGACAGCATCGCAAAAGGCACCAATGACTTATGAGACGAACTGAGTTGTCTGGCATCAGGGTGAGAGCTGAGGGACAGTTGTCTCCCAGACAGAAGTGCTGGCAGAGGCCATTGTTCATCTTCTGCGTCCCAGCACCTCAGTGCTGGCCCACAAGTGTCACATCCGAGTCTACATCCCCCTGGCTCGCATTGTTCACCTCGTCCTAGTGATTCCCTAGGTCCTGCCCCTACTTAACTTGCAGGCCCACACACGCCCTCTCCAGTGCTTTCTCTCTATGGTGAGTCTTGACTCAAGTGTGGACTTACCTAAAATGTCTCGAACAAGAAGCATTTGGCCTAGGTACAGCCCATGGCTACAGCTAAATGTCCCCAGGCTGAGCAGCAGCTGTGCTGGCCTTCGTTGGCAGCTTGGCCTCTCCCAGGCAGCTCCAAGCCCAGCACAAGTGGCGGCCATCTGCAGATCGCTGTGCAGCTCATGCTGGGTGGCCCTGGGCAAAACACAGGTGGTAGCTGAACTTGCCCTGCACCTCCCAAGAGGTTCTGGAGCCAGCACACCTGGTGGACAGCTTCAGATCACACCAAAGCACTGCCCCATGGTCTCCACAGCAACACACTCAAGGGGCAGACTCTCAGGCACCAGAACCTCCACGGTTGTCACAGCCAATCAACCTGGGTCAGATCCTTCCCATTTCCAACAGCAAAAATGACTCAACTATAATAGGAGGGTGCACACTGACCACAGGGAGGCGCACCTAGAGTGCCCAGGTTGGGAGACCAGGGAGGCTGCACCACTGGGTCCTACGGGACACCCACTACATGGGGACACTCAAACAAGACCAGGAGAAGTAGCGGCTGTACCTAATGCATAGACACAAACATGGGAGGGCTGCCTAAGTGAGGAGAGAGAAACATGTCCTAAATGATAGAACAGAAAGAAATTCCAGAAAAATAAGTAACCAAAATGGAAACAAGCAATCTGCACCAGATGCAGAATTCAAAACAGTTGTTATAAGGACACTCCAGGAACTTAGGGGAACACTGGAAGAATTTAATGTGGGCTTCAGCAAAGAGACAGGGAACATAAAAATGGAGATAGAAAACATAAAGAAGACATTAGAAATGAAAAATATAATAACTGAAATGAAGACTACATTACAGGGAATCAACAGTGGAGTTGAAAAAGCACAGGATGAAATCAGAGATTGGGAAGATAAGGAAGCAGAAAATATATAATCAGAACAGGTAAAAAATTTTAAATGAGGATAGTATAAGGGGCTTTTGGGACAACTTCATGCATATCAACATTCATATGACGGGGTGGCAGAAAGAGAAGAGAGACAGCAAGGAATTGAAACCCTACTTGAAAAAAATAATGACGGGAAATGTCCCTAACCTGTTGAAGGAAATAGACATACAAGTCCAGAAAGTGCAGAGTCCCAAGCAAGATGAACCCAAAGAGGCCGACACCGGGACACATCATAATTAAAATGAGAAAGGTTAAAGACAAAGAGAGAATCTTAAAAGCACCAAGATAAAGACATTAGTTACCTACAGTGGAGCTCCCATAAGACTGTCAGCTGATTTCTCAACAGAAACTGTTCAGGTCAAAAGAGATTGGCAACAGATATTCAAGGAGATGACAAGCAAGGACCTACAACAAGATCACTACTCAACAAAAGTATCATTTCAAATCAAATAAAGATAAGGAGCTTCCCAGACAGAAAAAGCTTAAGGAGTTTATCAACACCCAACCATTATTAGAAAAAAAATGTTAAATGGTCTTCTTTAAGAAGAACAATAAAATTAAAAATATGAATAATAAAATGGCAATAAATACACATCTATCAAAAATTACTCTAAATGCCAATGAATGCATTGGTGTAATCAAAAGACATACAGTGGCTGAATAGATAAGAAATCAAGGCCCTTATATATGCTGTCTACAAGAGACTCAATTCAGATCAGAAGCATACACACACTGAAAGTAAAAGAGTGAAAAACTGTATTTCATGAAAATGGGAACAAACAAACAAACAAACAAAAAGCTGGGGTAGCAATACTTACACCAGACAGCATAGATATAAAATCAAAGGCTATATAGCAATCAGTAGATGATTAGATAAACAAGTAGGGCATATATACAATGAAATGACTAAGTGATACACCAAAAAGAATGAAATCTTACCATTGACAACAACAGGAATGCGGTGGATTGCGCTGAGTGAAAGAAGCCAGACAGAGAAAGACAAACGCCAGACGGCTGCGCTTATATGTGGAATCTGGAACATTGAGTAATTGAGCAGAACAGGAAGAGGTTCATAGACACAGGGAACGGGAGTTTAAGACGGCCCCACCAGGGTACAGCAGCATCAGGTGCAGGGAGCAGGACACCTCAAGAGAGGCCAATCCCAGGACACAGACGTGCTGAGCAGGATGAGCGGTCAGCAGAGTCGCCGGAAGGAGGACCAGAAAGAGTTAAATGAGCTCCCTGAACTATCTCTTCTGCCTGTTTGCACATCCGGGCCGCAGCAGATGGCCAGCGCTCAGGGAGGGGTCTCTGGGCAGGAGGAGGAGTCCCGACAAAATTCTAGGTGCGCAGGCCTGGACCCACCTGACCCTGCTCAGTTCTCACTCCCATTGGGTGTCCGAACTCTAGACAAGTCAGTCTGCGTCATCTTGGGCCCGGCGACCAGAGCTTTTCTTCCCCGGGCGCTCAGGGCGGGTCATGGGGCCCCGACCGCTGCTCCTGCTGCTCTCGGGGGCCCTGGCGGTGACCGCGACCTGGGCCGGTGAGCGCGCGGTCGGGAGGGAACGGCCTCTGAGGGGCGGGAGCGTGGAGACCCGGCGGGGGCGCAGGACCCGGGGAGGCGCTTCCTCAGAACCGCAGGCCCACAGCCCAGATCTCCCATTTCGGCCTTGGCCGCGCCCCTCCCCCTCTCCCATCCCCTCCTTTCAATTACCGCTCCCTTTTTGGTCCCCCGGCTCCATTCCCCTTCCCGCCCCGCTGCCGACCAGGGATGCGTGTCCTCTCCGCCCCCAGGACCCCACACCCTGAGATATTTCCACACTGCCTTGATCGGCCCTGGCCCCGGGAAGCACCGGTACATCGGCGTCGGCTACGTGGACGACACGGAGGTCGTGCGGTTCGACAGTGATGCCGCGATGCCCAGGCTAGAGCCGCGGGTCCCGAGGATGGAGCAGCAGTGGATGGAACAGGAGGATCCAGATTTTTGGGAGGAGCAGACGCGGGAAATCAAGCACAACGAGCAGACCTCCCGAGCGACCCTGAACAAGCTGCGCGCCCACTACAACCAGAGCGAGGACGGTGAGCCGCGCGCCCCCGGGGCTGGGGAACGACCACCATCCCCACGGATGTGCTTCAGTGGCGCCGAGTCTTTGGATCTGAGGGTCACCAGGAAGCTGCGGTCTTCTCGTGGCGGGGAGAAGCTAAGATGTCAGGGCTGACCACGGTGGGGCGGGGTCAGGGTCTCACACCTTCCAGGAAATGACCGGCTGCGTCCTGGGGTCGGACGGGCGCTTCCTCGGCGGATACAGTTACTTCGCCTACGACGGCACCGACTACGTCGCCCTGAACGAGGACCTGCGCTCCTGGACCGCGGCCGACAGGAGTATCAACTGGCGCGACTTAGTGCAGGTCCCTGATGCGGAAATGAGGAGGGTCTTCCTGGAGGACACGTGCGTGCGCCGGCTCCGCCTGTTCCTAGAGAAGGGGAAGAAGACGCTGCTCCGAGCAGGTGCCGGGGCGCGGGCCTCCCCGGGGAGGGGTCTGCGGGCTGGGGCGGCTCCTACAGGGAGAGGAGGGAGGTGGTCAGAGTCAGACTCCGCCTCCTCTCGGGGGAGGGAAGGGCCCCCAGGTTTCCTTCTTCTGTGACTCCCCCGCGGGCCCAGCTCTCTCTAAAGGACAATAAGGGACCCAGCCTCTCCCTGAACAGCCACAGAGGTTCCCTCACACCCTGCAACCACCTGGTGCCCAGGTCGCGCTCCCTCGTTTTAGGGCTGAGACAGACTTTGGAGGCCTGACTCGGGCCTTTCTGAATAATTTGGTCTCCACCTGGGTCCGTGTCCCCTTAGAGACCTGGAGATTCCTCTTCTAGGTTCTCCCCCTGATTCTAGAACTTTCCAAGAAATAAGAGATTATCCCAGATGGTTCTTTCCAGGCTGGTGTCTGGGTGGTGCTCTGCTGGAGTGTCCCCTGACCATGCAAAGTTCCTGAATGTTCTCACCCTCCCCTCAGACCCTCCAAAAACACGTTTGACCCGCCACCCCATCTCTGACCGTGAGGTGACCCTGAGGTGCTGGGCCCGGGGCTTCTACCCCGCGGACATCACCCTGACCTGGCAGCGTGACGGGAAGGACCTGACCCAGGACATGAAGTTTGTGGAGACCAGGCCTGCGGGGGATGGAACCTTCCAGAAGTGGGTGGCCGTGACCGTGCCCCCTGGACAGGAGCAGAGCTACACGTGCCGCGTGGGGCACGCGGGGCTGCCCAAGCCCCTGACCCTGAGTGGGGTGAGGAGGGGGGGCGTGGGCACAGAGCCTCTCCTCAGGGCGTCCCTGCGCGGGGTCAGGACTCGGGCCTGAGGGTGGCCTCTCACCTCCCATCGCAGACCGCCCCTCTTGGACCAGCATCCCCATCGTGGGCATCGCTGCTGCTGCCCTGGGTCTCCTTGTTGCTGCGGTCGCTGTGGCTGTGACGTGGAGGAGGAAGTGCTCAGGTGGGCAGGGGTGGGGCCGAGGTCCCTGTCCCCCTGGGGGTCAGGCCCAGGTGGCCGTGTGCTCCGCCTCGTGAGTGGGCATCGTACCCACTCGGGTGCTGCTCATCGGGGGCCTGTTTGCCAACACTGACTCTTTAGTGAGGCCCGTGGGACAGTGAGGGACAAATTTCTCACCTGATGACTCTAGCTATGGGGACTGATTCCCAGCTGTCACAGGTCAGAGGGGAAGGTCCCTGCTGAGCACAGACATCCAGACACGTGGTTGTACCAGTCCCTGCACATGTACTGTTGCTGTCTTTCCTGATCCCGCTCTAGGTGTTCAGTCACAGTTCTGGAACCTTCCCTGGGCTTCAGGAGTGTGGGGCTCCTTTAGGGTCAACGGGACCCAGCCTCCCCCCGACTCCTCACAGAGCGTTTGCTTCCCACAGGCAGAGGCAGGGAGAGCCGCGCTCAGGCTGCCTGTCAGTCTGGGTGTCGGGAGGGGACGTCTGGGACCCTGGGGAGCGTGTGGGCTGGAGTCTAGGAGGGGGCTCCCCACCCCGTGACTCTGCTGCTGTGTCCTTCCCCAGGCGGCGACAGTGTCCAGGGCTCTGATGTGTCTCACAGCTGCTGAGGGTGAGACCCTGAGGGCAGGACGCGGGGACACTGGGATGGAGGGGCACCGCTGGGTTTTGGGGATCCTCAGAGTGGGATGTGCTGAATGTGTGGTGGCTGCGGGGAATGTGACACTTCTGTGTCTGACCTGAATATGTCCATGACCACTTTCTTTCCAGCGTGACTGAGTTGTTTTCTAAGGGACTTGGCGCTGGAAGAGTCATCCAACCATCGCTTTGGGACTTCAGGACCCATAACTGCCATTTCTCCACCAGCATCAGAACCTGCCTGCATTATATTTAAATTACCAGTATATATATATCTATATATATATATCTATACATGTATATGTATAGATATATATACATAAATCAGAAGAGATTGTGATTAAAAGCTGCAAAGTGTATTCCTTCCAGTAGGTGTTATTCTAACTGCACCTTCGCCCCATTTATTAAGCTGTTCTAAGTCACTTTAAGTTAATACACTTACCATGAGGTGTGAAGTCACCCTGGTGGGACAGAATGTGTGTCACATGAGAAGGGGACCCCATGGCTCCTCGTTAATATTCCCTGGGACCGCCTGTGCTCCGAGCACAATTCAGGTTTCTTCCCGCACATCCGAATGTCCAAAAGTGACTTTCGGAGCCTCAGGCTGTGGCTGGGTTTGTCCCCTGATTCTAACCAGGTGCCGCTTTGTGGCCCAGGAGTCCCCGAGCATCCAGGCCCCCCTCCTGCAGCCCTCGGGGGTGTCCCTGTGGGGCTCAGAGCGCCGACCCCTCAGAGGGTGGGGACACCTGCCTACAGCAGGAGCTGCTCCGGCGCCCACTGTCCTCAACCCCCCGCAGGCCCTGTCCTCAGTCTGTGGGTGCCGAGCCCTGGAAGGTCCTGGCCAAGGCGCCGATGTCCTTAGCGGCTTCCCCTGAGGGGTCCTCCCCAGGAGAGAGCCCTCGGGCCACAGGGCCAGCCTGGCTGCTGGGCTGAGCCCAGAATCAGGAGACAAGGGACCCGCGAGGCGGGAGGGGAAGGAGCGGGAAGCCTCCCTGCGTTCCCGGCTGCAGCCGCTGGGGGCGCTGCCGGGCTGTGGGCGGTGGGAACAGCGGGAAAGGACTGGAAGCTCAAGGCGTGTGGAAGATGCATTTCACGGCGTTTCCTAACGATTAAACCTGGGGGGAGGGAAAGGAGACAAGGAGGGCACCCCACATGGTACTGTGACAGCAGAAAGGCGGGGTTCTCTCAGCAGAGATGAGGGAGACGCTGGCAGGAGCCTGTGTGGGGGAGGGGTGGGCATTGCAAGTGTCCACTGAAGAGAAGGTGAAGGTGAGACTTCTGTTAGAAACACCAATAAAGTGTCAGGTTGGACAGATGAGTCTGGGGACCTTCAGGAGAAATGTCTGGGCTGGAGACATAGATTTGGAGGTGATGTCACAAAAATGACACTTAAAACTATGAGCGTGGATGCGGCCACCAAGGGAGCCGGGGCTGGGGAAGAGGAAAGAACTAGGACTGGTCCCTACACCACCTGTCCCGACAGTGGGGACGCTCATCCTGGTGACTCACCAGGTTGGTGGTGGTCAGGCCTCCTCATCTTACATTCACCATCTGGAGTTTGTCAGGAATTAGTTATTTACGGGGAGATATTCTGAGGTTGTCCTACTGTGCGCTTCATCACGTCTGCACTAACCCTTCTTACACCTTCCACCCAAATCAATGAAAATATAATGGACTTTCTGTATCAGCCCTCAACATTTATTAGTAGGATGTGAAGTACAGCTTAAGAATATAATCAATAATATTGTTGTGCATACGTATGGTGTCAGGTGGATATTAGAGTTTTGGGGGAGATTACGTAATAAGCTGTACTAATGTCTAATCATGGGGTTTTGCAGCTGAGACTAACACTGTGTGTCAATAGTAATTATAAATAAAGAACTCATCGGCACAGACAACAGTGCGGTAATTTTGGGGGCGAGGTCAGTGGTTGGAAGTGGCAGATGGTATGAGGCGACATATGCTGATAGAAAAAAATAAATAAAAGAAGAGAAAATTTATTTTACATTAAATAAGTGAAGGCTTGGACTTCATATCTAACGTTCTCACAGTAATTTTCAGGATAAATGTGAGTATTTTGTGAGATGCCCACAAGCCATCCTGGTCAGCGAGATTTGAATCCACACTATTCAGAGATTAGACAGGGCCCAGGTTGGGGAAATGACTTAAATGCATATTTAAACTTTTTTTCCCTGGGGAAGTAAAGGTAGTTTATGTATTGTCATATGAAGGTGGGAGGTACTTGCTGTTTTCTCTTCCATGGGGTAAAGTCACGTGGAAGATTTAGAAAGGAGCCCTGGCTGCTGTGCCTTAGTGAAATGAGTGTCAGTCTGCGAACTAAAGGGTCGCTGGTTCGATTCCCAGTCAGGGCACAGGCCTGGGTTGCCAGCCAGGTTCCCAGTTGGGGGGTGGGCAGGAGAGGAAACCACACATTGATGTCTCTCTCCTTCTCTTTCTCCCTCTGTTCACTTTTCTCTAAAAATAAATAAAATCTCTTTAAAAATAAATAAAATAAAATGAACAAATCCTATGGAAGGTCTTCCTTAAAAAAAGAAAAATGAAGAAAGAAAGAAAGCGGCTGTCCGTTCAACATAATGAAAATCTCCAAATGCTCGCTCTCTGCAGTTATCCACCCTCGGTGATTTCTGGAGCACATAATGGACCCCAAATTTTCTAACTGAAACATAAAAAGGATTCCTATGTGGGATATTGGGGCTCATTCCATGAAACGCCACGGAAGAGTCCCCAGGCGGGAGCAGCGAGAGCTGTGGCTGCAGAAGCACAGACAAGCCCCGGGGCACACGGGAGGACCAGTGTGGTGGCTTTAGGTCCCAGAGTGTGTAGGGCTGCCCCACAGGCCTCCCGTGGGCTTGTCAGCTTGATAAGTGGCCCCTTTTCTTCCACACATCCCCCTGTCAGTCATAAATCAGTCACAGGAAGCACTGCTGAGCGCCCTGTGGTTGGATGGCGAGGCCCCGCGGCGCTGGGAGGCCTCTCCTAGGCAGCGTCAGGTCCGCGTCTGTCTTACTGAGCAGGGCAGATGCTGGGAACAGGGCAGGACCCTAACCCCAGGTGGCATTTCAGGTCAGACTGTTATCATTGAAAATAGGCAGGTGAAGGGGAGGCAGTCAGACCCCGCACGTCCTTCTTTAAAACCATACTGGATCATTTCCAGTTTTCGAGCTGCCGTGGCGCGAGCCTTGTCGCTATTTCTCATCAGTTTTATTTTCCTGTATCTAATATAACATTTAATATTAGGGACAAGAGTAACGGCATTAAAGCCCTAACTCCAATTAGGAGCAGAAAATGTCTAATAGCAGACAAGGAAGCGTCTGAGCGGGACACGCGTCCCAGCCAAACACAGACCCTCCGCCTGTGTCGTCGAGAGTTGTTACTAACCTAACACTATGTTTCCTGCGTGCCCACCGCCCTTCCTACCTTATGTGAAGTTTGGCCAGACGAATTAACTTTCGCTATTTCAGGATTCAGAAGCTGTAATTTTTCTTTTGGCCACTTCGTTTCCATAGAAATGATTTCATGAGAAGGATTAAGTTCAATTTCTCAGTATATTGGATTTCCAGTACAAATATTTCCACAGGTTTTTATTAACTTCAGACAAAGTTGTTTTGCGTATAATTTCAGTATTACACCACATTCCAGTGGTATTTAACATAAATTTGGGGTTACTGCAATGAAAATCACTTAGCGTGCCAGAAGAATTCTCTAAACCCTCCCAACGAAAACACCACGTTCCCCTAGAGCATATGTTGTTACTTGTTGTGATATAAACAGCAGGCCCTCCCTGGGTGAGTGCAGAATCCCCTACAGACGGCGGTCGTGACCATTCACCTTTTCCATTTTCAAATTAGACAGCGAGAGGTGTCTAATTTGAATTCCCCACTGTTTGTGAAATTCCCCGCTGTTTGTGATTTTCACGCAGGGCCCGTCTCCTTCCCGTTGGAAGCATCCCGTGACGCTGCAGACGCCCCTGTGCCAGCCAGTGGCACTGCTGAGGGTTCGAGCTCAGACTCACCCACCTGCCTGCGCTTTTAACACACAACCTTGTAGCCTGCATTTCCCAAGCAATGTTCCAAAACCCAGGGGCACCCTGTGAGTCCCACAAACGTCTGGCCTGGGCTTCTGTCCCCTTTCTGGTGGCCACGGTGTCACAGCGGCTTCAGGCTCCATCTGCCCCGGCACAGACGCTGGGCCCTGTGCAATCGGGTCCAGGAGGTCCCCGCTGCTGGGCTCGTGCACGCGTTCCCGTCGTCTGCCGAGCCTGTTCTGCCCGCAGAGCTGCGGCCTCATCGCCTTTCCGGGCTGCTTCCCGCCCCCTTCCCGCTTCCTGGGACAGCGTTCCCTCTGGGTGACCGTTTCAGATACAGAGTCTGTGTCTAACAAACGATGGTCTTCGTTAACTGCAAGTTCCACTTGTGGCGGAACATCAAGGCCACGAATCCTCCAAGTATTTCTGTTTTTCTTTTCTTTTAAAGATTTATTTATTTTTAGGGAGGGGAAGAAAGGGAGAGAAACATCAATGTGTGGTTGCATTTCGTTCGCCTCCGGCTGGGGACATGTCCTGCAACCCAGGCAAGTGCCCTGCACTGGGAATCGAACCAAGACCCTTGGTTCACAGACCAACACTCAGTCCACTGAGCCTCACCAGCCAGGGCCCCTGTTTCTGTCTTTCAGAGGTGAGTGCAGTGGGAACCACTGGGAACGGTGTGGCCATTGGGTGGCTATGGCCAGGGAGCAGTTGGGGAGACTGAACGGACCCAGGAATGTTCACTTTCCCATCCGTAGGTGAATGGGTGAGGTCACCCCCGATGGGCTGGGGTCTGAGTGTCCATAGACCTTCCCACCAGCGTCAAGGACGCAAGAGTGGGGTAGTCACAGACATGTCTGCCCACCGAGTAGTAATTTTTGACATGGGGACCCACTGATTTTTTTCTGTTTCCAAAGACATCCAGCCACAGGCTCGTGGATGGTGCGTCCGAGGACCGGACATGCTGTGACAGACAGGACAGGTCGCTGCAGGCCTGTCCCCACCACATGCGGGTGTTTTCTTAGCCCTTCATCATCCGTGGCTGCAGCTCCACAACACAAACCTAAGGGGTCCACAGAGGCGTCTGGCAGGGGATCCTCAGGAACCTGTTCTTGGAGGGGTTTCCCCAAGACGGGTCCTTGACCATAGATATACCATGAACATACAGCAAAGCGCATGTTGACAGTAGGAGAAGCCCGATGTGTGGCCAAGGAAGCATTAACTTCATTATCATAATTAATAAAGAATATCACTGTCCAGTAGATGCAAAAGATTGGCAGGTACCCACGTTATATCTTTCATGTCTATTAAGGGAGGGGTCTGGGGAGACAGGTCCCGTTTCCATGGGAAGCCATGAGGAGGAAAGAACAACGTAAAAGTCACCCTCTGCGCATTCCGTCCGCAGCAGCCTCAGTGTGGGAGCCCGCAGGCCCTGCCGCTTCCTGGGACGGCCGTCTGCCCTCGCAATCGGTGGCTCCGCGTCCCTTTCTCTCCGCTGCAGAGGGAGGCGAGTGTCAGGGACGGGGCAGGTGTCCCTGCACAGTCAGCGCCTCTTCAAAATGAGAACCAGGAGCCCAGGAGTTACCTCTTTGAGTTTGGCTGCACGTGGGATAGTCAGTCGCACCTGGAGAGGTCCCTCTACTGAGGCTGGAGAGAGTCCTATGTGATGGCTCTTCCAACAGAACAAACCTCCCAGCTGTGAGCCAAGACCTTTGGAACCTGCATCTCCTGGGAGCCCGGTGTCCTGTACCAGTTACTAATGTATCAGTTTGTTTAAGCTGGTTAATGAGCCCCCGACAGTGATGTCCAATGTCCCCTTTCAGCAGGACGGGTTCCCAGGCCCCTTCGCCCACATGCCCGGGGCGGCCAGGGCCTGTTCCCGGAGGAGAGAGTCCGTGGTGCCCACAGGGAGCGGCGCTCGGGCTGCGCTGCAGGGACAGCGCTTGTCCAGGGCAGAGCAAAGGCCCCTGACATTTTGCCCAGTTGGCTTTCATTGTCCCCTTGGTGCGTCCCCCTGTCCAGAGGACGGGGGTGAGGGGCACAGTGACGGTGCTGCAGAGGAGGCCCAGGGTTACAGACGGATTTATGACTCGACCCGTGAAATGAGTCCCTCAGTCCCCGACTCAGCGGGAGTTCCCCGTTGGGGAATATCCTCTCTAACAAGAGTTGCCCCCATGAAGGCTGTCGCCCTCCTGCAAGGCAACGCCTCAGCCCAGGGAGGAAACGTGCACATCATCACTGTGTGTGTTTGTGTCCCTGCCGAGGTGGCATTTGGATGAAACCCAATTGCCGCACCTCACGTGGACCCACCAAGAGCAGGAAACGTTCCTGGGAGCCACGGAGCGGTTCCCTGGGCTGGGTTTTGGACAGAGAGGACGTGCGCTGTGCACCGTATGAGGTAGAATAGGAGAAGGTTTCCAGACACAGTGTTTACTCCTTGCAATCATCTCAGGACCCCAGAGAGGTGACTCACATCCATGTGCATGTACAGGGAGCTGGGCCCCCGCAGGCAGGACAGGTGTCCCGTTGGGTCCGAGCCACATCTGTCGGCCTGGGTCAAAGGTTCCCCCTGTTTGTTGCCATGTTATCTTTTCTTCCTCTGTAACTGCCTGTTGAAACTGGAAAAGATAATCTTTTATTGATTTGCTAGGAAGCAGGGAACGTTTTCAGGCCTGGATAACCTGCTCATTGCCACCTGCCTAGCGCAGTGCCAGCAAAATGACTTCCTCTCGCTTCCATGGCGGCAGCTTTAGAATGCCCTGGAAGTTGGATACTTGCCCCCTCAGGTTTCCTTGTTCTGTGACTCCCCCGCGGGCCCAGCTTCCTCTGAAGGACAAGGGACCCAGCCTCCCCCTGAAACAGCCACAGCGGCTCCCTCACACCCTGCAGCCACCGGGTGCCCAGGACGCGCTCCCTGGTTCCCAGGCTGAGCCCGTCTCTGACTCGGGCTTTTCTGAGCTACTGGGCACCTCACGCTGCGTCTGCTCTGGGAAACCTGAAGATTCCTCCTCTAGATTGTCCAGTGACCCTGGAATTTTCGTGGAAAGAGGAGATTATCCCAGATGCCTCTGTCTAGGCTGGTATCTGGGTGGTGCTCTGCTGGAGTGTCCCCTGACCGTGCAACGTTCCTGAATGTGCTCACCCTCCCCTCAGACCTTCCTAAGACACACGTGACCCGCCACCCCACCTCTGACCGTGAGGTCACCCTGAGGTGCTGGGCCCGGGGCTTCTACCCCGCGGACATCACCCTGACCTGGCAGCGTGACGGGGAGGACCTGCCCCAGGACACGGAGACTGTGGACACCAGGCCTGCGGGGGACGGGACCTTCCAGACGTGGGCGGCCGTGGCCGTGCCCCCTGGACAGGAGCAGAGCTACACGTGCCGCGTGGGGCACGCGGGGCTGCCCGAGCCCCTGACCCTGCGATGGGGTGAGCGGGGGGGCGTGGGCACAGAGACTCTCCTCAGGGCGTCCCTGAGCGGGGTCAGGACTCGGGCCTGAGGGTGGCCTCTCGCCTCCCCCTCGCAGACCCCCCTCCTCGGACCACCGTCCCCATTGTGGACATCGCTGCTGCTGCCCTGGGTCTCCTTGTTGCTGCGGTCGCTGTGGCTGTGACGTGGAGGAGGAAGCGCTCAGGTGGGCAGGGGTGGGGCCGAGGTCCCTGTCCCCCTGGGGGTCAGGCCCAGGTGGCCGTGTGCTCCGCCTCGTGAATGGGCATCGTACCCACACGGGTGCTGCCCATCGGGGGCCTGTTTGCCAACACTGACTCTTTAGTGAGGCCCATGGGAAAGTGAGGGACAAATTTCTCACCTGATGACTCTAGCGATGGGGACGGATTCCCAGCTGTCACCGGTCAGAGGGGAAGGTCCCTTCTGAGGACAAATGTCCAGACAGGGACAGGTGGTCCAGTTACCACACAAGGACTCTCCCCATATTTTCTAATGTTACCTTGGGTGTCAGTCATAGCTCTGGAACCTTCCCTGTGTTTCAAGTATGGGGCTCCTTTAGGGTCACGGGACCCAGCCTCCCCCCCCCCCCCGACTCCTCACAGAGCGTTTGCTTCCCACAGGCAGAGGCGGGGAGAGCCGCGCTCAGGCTGCCTGTCAGTCTGGGTGTTGGAAGGGGACGCCTGGGACCCTGGGGAGCGTGTGGGCGGGAGTCTAGGAGGGGGCTCCCCACCCCGTGACTCTGCTGCTGTGTCCTTCCCCAGGCGGCGACAGTGCCCAGGGCTCTGATGTGTCTCTCACAGCTGCTAAGGGTGACTCTGAGGTCAGGACGCGGGGGCACTGGGATGGAGGGGCACAGCTGGGTTTTGGGGAGTCTCAGAGTGGGACATGCTGAGCATGTGGTGGCTGTGGGGGACTGTGACACTTCTGAGACGGAGCTGAATGTGTTCATGACAACGTTCTTTCCAGCGTGACACAGCTGCCTTGTAGTGGACTTGGTCCTAAAATAGTCATTCCAGCTTCCCTTGGGCCTTTAAGGATCCCCGACTGCTGTTTGTGCACCGGCATCTGAACGTGTCTGCGTCCTTATCAACATCAGTGAGGAGCTGGTGCCCAGGCCGCCCTCCCCACAGGGACCTGCCTCCTCCCCCTGGGGACCGTCCTGTCCCCACAGAGCTGGGGTGAGGCCGTCCCCGCCCTGGTCGTCCCTCGGCGGGGCCTTCTTTGTTGCTCCTGTGTCCTCGCCGCTTCAGGAGAACCTTGTCCCTCTGGGACCTGCGATCCCAGGGACTGGAGTGTCACCTGGACCGTGTGGTCCAGGCTCCAAGGCTGTGCTCGGTGAGGGCTTCACGGGGCCGCGTCGGCCTGGGCTCAGGCCTGGGTCTGGCCGCGGCCCCTCTCTCGGGTGTGTGTGGTTTCTTTGTTTTTGCAGATACTGCATCTATTCTTGTTTTCTTAATTCAACTATTGGAGTATTTTTATTAAATTATTGCGGTGTGTTCTCATTAAATGTATGGGGGTGGCATTAGCGAATAGGATCCCACAGGTGTCAGGAGCGCGTGTGTGTGGCACAGGATCTGTGTGTCGCACTGTGTGCCCGCCGCCTGAAGTCAAACTCCTGTCACCTTCTATTTCCCTCTCGTCCCCCACGCCCGTCCCTCTGGGAGCCACCCTTCTGTTGCCTGTGTCCTGAGCCCCGGTTTTATGTCCCACATGCGCGTGAAATCACGTGCTTCTCGTTTCTGTCTGACTTATTTCACGCAGCATCATAATCCCAAGGCCCACCCGCGCTGTCACAAATGCCACTATTGCGTCTTTCCTTCTGGCCGAGTGGCGTGGGTGCCTGAGTTTTCCCCTCCTTCTCCTCTGGGTGTCCCCCACCTGACAGCAACAGGAGCCATTCTGCCTGTCACTGTCCCCACAAGGCCCGGGGTGGCCCCCGCTCACAGGAATCTCTGGTATCGACAGGAGGAGTCTCAGGCTCCCCCGGCTCCTGCCTCGCGGGGTGGACTGTCCCTCCCCCCTTCCCCGCCCGCAGAGCCTCCGGGCCCTGGAATTAGCAGAGAGCAGGCCCCTGCCGGCTCCGCTCAGACCCGCTCCCGCGGGAACCCTGCTCCGCTCGGCCCGTCTCCCCGCCCTTGGCTCCCGTGCGGGCCCCGGAGCGAACGCGGGGACCCACGGAGGGGCGGCCGCGGTGGGTCTCGGGGACAGCCCCGTGGACGTGCGCATTGTGACTCACGGCCTCCGGCCCGGCAGCCCACGCGGCTTCGCCTCCCAGCCCCTGCTCGGTGGGATTCTGTTACAGCGACACAAAGGGACCAGGACAGGCCGACACTGGAAGGGACCTGAGGGCCACGGTCCGGGGGTCCTCGGAGGCCGCCCGGAGGGAAGGCTGAGCGGCCGCAGGGAAACCGAAGTCCTTCCGCGGCGGCCGCCCCGACGCTGCGCCTCCGTCCGGGGCGCCTCCCGCGTCCGCGGCGCTGGGCACAGGGCGGCGTCCGCAGCGGGGCGTTTGTTCTCCCAAGGGGGGGACACCGTTAGGCTCCTGGGTACACACGCTATCACCTCCCCTGCCCTTCCTGACAGACGTCATTAAAATAATCATAAAGGATATTTACGGCCCCGGCCGGTGCCTGGGTTGTTCGGAGCGTTCTTCTACAAGGAAAAGGGTCCCAGGTCAGGGCACGTCCTTGGGTTGGGGGTTCGATCCCCGGTGGGGTGCGAATGGGAGGCAACTCATCAGTGTATCTCTCTGACGACAATATTGTCTCCTCTGTCTCTCTCCCTTTCCTCCTCTCTCAACTCAATAAAATATGTCCTCAGGTGAAGATTATATATTTAAAAAAATGAAAAGACGCGATACCAAATACGAGACAACCGTTTTTGAAATTGAGAACCTTGTTTATTCCCCCATTTGCAAGGACCAGTCATCATTCTCCACAAGTTAGAATTACAGTTTTTATCTCCTCCCCCGCCAGTCTAAGGAAAAAAGAGGATTACATGGAGTGTCCCACATTCGTGGTCACCAGACGGGGTGGGATGGGGTCGGGGGCGGAGTGAAGGAGGAGGAGGGACGGTGGGTACAAACAGCCTCGGGGATCTAACGCGCGGCACAGAGAACAAAGTCAGTAATGTCGCCATCCCAGTGCCTGGTGCCCGGTGGTAGGTAGACCCCCGGGGGGATCCGTTTGTAGGTTATGTAAGTATCAAGTCGCTGTTCTACACCTACAACTCATATGTTATTTCATGACAATTGTAAACAAGAAAAGAAAGAAAATCTAAGCTCCTTAAAAAAAAAAATACTTCAGCCCTGGCTGGGGTGGCTCAGTGGACTGAGCACCGGCCTGGGAACCAAAGGGCCGCCGGTTCCATTCCCAGTCAGGGCACATGCCCGGATTGCAGGCCAGGTCCCCAGTAGGGGGCGCTTGAGAGGCAACCGCACATTGATGTATCTCTTTCTCCCTCACTTCCTTTCCCTAAAAATAAAATAAATAAAATCATTTTTAATAAAAAGACTCAAATATTTTTTTTAAAATGCCTCAGACCCTGGCTGGGTAGCTCAGTTGGTTACACTGTCATCCGCATACGCCAAGGCTGTGGGTTTGATCCCAGGTAAGGGCACATACAAGAATCAACCAAGGAACGCATCAAATTGTGGAACAACAAACCTCTCTCTCTCTCTCTCTCCCCCCCGCTCCCTCCTCCTCCCTTTCTCTCTCTCTGAATTCAATTAGTAAAATCTCAAAAAAAAAAAAAAAAATCAGCTCCTGAATGTATAAATGGAACAACAAAGTGATGTTTTCCTCTCCTTTTGTCTCTCTCTCTAAAAAACAATTTTTAAAAACAAATGCTTTGTGGGATACAAAAAAGCCACAGAAACGGAATTGCTGATTATGCAAATAAGTTTTTACTTGACATCAAATCTTGCCTAAAAATATAACACAATTTAAAATTCTTATTTTTATAATAACTCTTAAAATTATATGTACATAACATTTTAATCATCCCAAACATTTTCAGGCAAATTACTCACCCATGTTCAAAAAGGTTAGGTTTTACTATTGAGAGAGAAAGTTTGCTGTCATTTGACATTCGTGTTTGAAGAGAGGACCTTGGATCAGAGTGAAAGGAATTCAAGCTTTTGTCCTGAGTTTTCCTTAGAGGCTCAGGCGTGCTCAGACCTTTCACGCGAAAACACTGTGAGAATGAGATGTTAATTAAGGATAAGGTAGATTTAAGACCAAGACATTATTTAAAAGAGTAAGGTAAAACTCCTCGAAACACAAGATACGCCTTAAACTATGGAGAGGGGCACGTTCAGGAAGTCAGGGGGCCGCGGCGTCCCAGAGCCCCGGAGGGGCTGGGTGTCCAGGGTCCGCTCCAGCGGCGGCCTTGACCGGGCTGGGGAGGCGGCTCCAGGCCTCGGAGGCGCGGCCGTCGGGGGGCGGGCGGCAGAGAGGGCGCCCCCACCAGGTGCGGGGTGGAAACGCAGGGCTGCTCGCACTCAGGGCGCTGGGCCCCCAGCGTCAGGGGGAGAGGAGAGGGTACCAGACCCCGCCCTGGGAGGAAGGGAAGGTCCCGTGGGCAACTTCCCGATAGAACAGTACCCTGTGAGGGAGCCCCGTGCGCTGTCCGGGGTGCAGACTGGTGCGGCCGCTGTGGGAAACAGTGCGGAGGCTCCTCCGAAAATGAAAGCTGGAACTACCTATAACCCAGCCCTTCCACTTCTGCGGACTTATCCAAGGAAACACAAAACACTCATCTGAATGAACAGAGACACCCCTACATTCACAGCAGCGCTATTGCCTAGAGCCAAGCTCGGGAAGCAGCCCAAGGGCCCATCCGTGAGTGATGGATAAAAACGCTGTGCTACATTCACACCATGGAAGAGCACGCAGCTGGGAAAAGGAAGGGATCCCCGCCCGCCGCACCGGCACGGAGGGGCCTGCTAAGTAAACGCTGAGTGACACAAGCCAGGCAGGGCAAGACAAGTGCCATCTGATGTCACGCGTATGCGGAGTCTAATGAACAACATAAACGAACAAACAAAGTAGAAAGAGGCTCTTAGACACAGAGAACAGCCTGCGGGGGCCACACAAGGGGGCGGGGCTGCGGGACACAGGGGACGGGCTCAGGCAAAGAAAACACAACACACACCCACAAACCCCTCAGACAACAGTGTGGCGACAGCCAGAAAGGAGGGGCAGTGGCAGCAGGGACACGAGGGTAAAGGGGGTACACGGAGACAGAAGGAGGCCGGACCGCGGGTGGCGAGCACGCAGCACAACACACACGTGACGTACGAGAGAACGGCCCGCCTGAGAACTACATAATTGCTTAACCGCTGTCACTCGAACAAATTCTACAAAATTAACAGAGGGAAAAAAACTATAGGCAACCAACACCCTTCAATGGGGAGCAGGAAAATCTAATTTCCTCTTTTCCTTCCCTTCATGGAAGGATTCCTAACCCAGGACGGTCACTTCAGTGCCTCTCCACTCCCGACTGGGGGCTGTTTGGGGGGAAATGAACCCACTCGGAGGCCGCGGGGTCTTCCCAGAGGGCGGGCGCCCGGCCTCACCACCGGCTCAAAACAAAGGAAGGCGAGAGGCACCAGGAAACACTCCTCCTGGGGCACCTGCCAAGGAGTCGCAGAAGGAGGCCAGCCAGCGACACCCTCAAATGTGAAAACCTTCTAGAAGGAGCTGTAGAATAAAC